CACATGAACTGAGCATGCTCAGTAACACTGCTGAAGCCGGCTGTCCTCACTCTGTCCCCTCTTCCCCACTATCAGCAAGCACACTGCCCGCTGCTGCTCTGGCAGGTTTCTAAATATAGAAGACAGAGCACCAATAGTAGAGTTTAGGGAGGGGAAGCATATTATTAGGATAGCAATGCAGGCATGGTAGAAAATAGCATATTCAGGTAAGGTTGTTTTGGCTATATATCTCTGGTTTTTCTACTATAAAGTAAAATTTGCAGATACTGCTGGAGTGAAAAAGCTTCAAAGCATATTTTTAAGGTTCTCAGTAGGTGGGGACACCCTCATGATTAACACATATCAGGGGTTATTTCAATATAAGAGGCTAGTGTGTGGAGTAGTATCTTCACCCATTATTTGGCAGTGAGCCATGGAGCAGGTATTATTGGCTATTCCTCTAACTCACTTGTTGCTTGGACATGTATTGGTCATGGCAGCTAGAGATGAAAAGCACCCTGAGAACCTCCAGAAGGGATCTGCAAGGCTGTCTGAGCAGGGCTACACCATTGACAGATATCGTTGTATAAATCATAAGACAAAGCTGAAGTTATCCCCTCATCACAGCCACAAAATGTGTCATAGTTACGTTCTTTTCTGTGGATGGGCAGTTATTTCCACAGGTTCCTGCCTAACATGACAACAGTGTTATAGCCTCTAAATAAAGTGTTACACAATGAACGGGAATGGTGTTAATATACTATGTGAACCAGAGCTTTTGATGATGCCAAGAAGCTGATAACATCTGAAAGGGTCCTTACACACCGTAATGCACCTTTGCCTGTAAAATTAGCATGTGACACTTCCCCCTGTGGAATAGGAGCAGTAATTTCATATGTGATGGAAGATCATATTGAAAGACCTATATTGCCTTTGCTTCTAGATCTCTGTAGAACATACCTATGGTGAAACTGATAATGAAGCTATCTAAATTTAGTCTGGGAGTTAAAAAGTTTAATCAATTAATCAGTATGGGAAACCCTCTGGTTACAGATCATCAGCCTCTAGTTTCAATTTTGAACCCAAAGAAGGGAGTACCAGCAATGGCTGTAAACACAATTACAATATATTGTATAGAAGTGACTAAGTCATGACAACTTTAAACACAGTTACTTCAGTGTTTTGGGCCATTAGTATAGAACAGTGGTTCTCAATCAGGGGTATGCGTAGCTCTAGGGGTACGCAGAGGTCTTCCAGGGTGTATATCAACTCATCTAGCTATTTGCCTAGTTTTACAACAGGCTACATAAAAAGCACTAGTGAAGTCAATACAAACTAAAATTTCATACAGACAATGACTTGTTTATAAGAACATAAGAATGGCCATATTGGGTCAGACCAAAGGTCCATCTAGCCCAGTATCCTGTCTTCCGACAGTGGCCAATGCCAGGTGCCCCAAAGGGAATAACAGAACAGCTAATCATCAAGTGATCCATCCCCTCTTGCCCATTTCCAGTTTCTGGCAAACAGAGGCTAGGGACACCATCCCTGCCCATACTGGCTAATAGCCATTGATGAATGGCTATCCTCCATGAACTTATCTAGTTCTTTTTTGAACCCTGTTATAGTCTTGGTCTTCACAACATACTCCGGCAAAGAGTTCCACAGGTTGACTGTGTGTTGTCTGAAGAAATACTTCCTGTCATTTATTTTAAACCTACTGCCTATTAATTTCATTTGATGACCCCTAGTTCTCGTGTTACGAGGAGTAAGTAACACTTCCTTATTTACTTTCTCCACGAGTAATGATTTTATAGACCTCCATCATATCCCCCCTTAGTCATCTCTTTTTCAATCTGAAAAGTCCCAATCTTATTAATCTCTCCTCATATGGAAGCCGTTCCATACCCCTAATCATTTTTGATTTATATTGCTCTATATATTATACACTGTAAGTACAATATTTATATTCCAATTGATTTATTTTATAATTATATGGTAAAAATGAGAAAGTAAGCAATTTTTCAGTAATAGTGTGCTGTGACACTTTTGTATTTTTATGTCTGATTTTGTAAGCAAGTAGTTTTAAAGTAAGGTGAAACTTCAGATAAAAAAAGAATAACCTGAACTTGAACTGAATATTTCATCATGATGGAAAATGGTTAACTATTTCCCTCCCAAACATGCTTCTTTAATTCCTTCTTTCAACGCGCCAGAAATAAAAACAGTGAAATTAGAAAGATTTATTTTTGCAGTCTTTTTACGTCAGCTACAGCCAGGAAATCTTTCAGAGAAGATGATTCTGATGATATCTCCAGCTC